AACAGTGAAACAGACTTTAGTCTTGGTCCAGGAGTATTAAGAGGTTTAGGTCTTTATTTATGGAAGGTCATTATTAGCTGAAACTGGCCATAAAGAATTTATGCTTACTATTAAAAGGGGCTGGTAAACATTTTGTCACAAGATTAAAGATCATTGTTTTCAACCGCATTGTCTAGACCGTTTGACAAAAATGCAGAGGAGAAAAGGCCACAGCCCTGTTTATGTACATGTCAATCTTATAAAATAAACAAAGCCAAACTAAAATATGTCTAGTTTCAGGCAAAATGTGAACTGCAATAACCAGAGCTATGCTCAAGGATGAGATTCAACAGTAAAACAAGTAAAAATATGAACAGTGGCCAGGGTAACCATGTTCTCAGATAGAGGAACCAAGGGGGAGATACAAGTTCTCAAGTATGGTTCTTGTGTTTAGGTACAGGATGATGTTCCATATACTCTTAACAGGAAAATAGTTTTAAAAGCTTATATATTGGTCACGTAAGGATTGAAAACTCAAGAAGAACGTTACAGGCTGTTGCAAATTGCTAATAATAGGAAGGGACCTGCTGACAGTTTTCACATGCACCAAGAATGCTGAGAAAGACTCTGTATTTTTCCTAAGAAAGTTATAAAAAGCTTCTAGTTTACTTGCTTATCGTACTTTTATCGGGTTAAAAAAACATTAGACAATGCTGAAGCATTCTTTCAATTATATTGCTCTATTTTTTTTTGCCTGAGGCATCTTCCTAGACTGTCCTAGAAAGCACTACAGTTAAACCGGTGATCATGAACATCAAACCTGGTCTCACTAAAGGTAATATACCTGAAATAGTTTTGTCTTACAGCAGATGCAGTTCACTGGGAATAGTTTTAATTGTTTGGGGTTTGGTATGCACCTGCTAGATCCTGCTGTTCCTCATCTAATGAAATGATTAACATGTTTTCAAAGCAATAAAATGAAGTCAGATCCTAGTCCATGTTTAGCATTGTTACATTTCAGAAAGGATCCAGTGGTGCCTGGGTTTTCCACTGATAACTTTTGTCCTAAAAAAAAATTGTGCTGTTAACTAGTATCAGAGTGACCACAGACCTGTAAAGAGAGTAACAGGTATAAGATTGTTAGAGTTTAACCCCAGCTGAAACCAGGACAAAGATGTAGAGTTAGATAAAGTAGAATAAAGGCTTGAAGTGTTGTGGTTGGGCACTGTGATTCCATCTGCTACAATATAGCAATAGTGCTCAGCTTGCTGTTCTTTGGGAGCAGTGCTATCAGTGGTATCATCATCCCAAAGGAACATTGCCTCAGACACCCAAGTGACTCAGGAGGGAAGGAAGGGATGTCTCTTTTTTCCATGGATATCTCACATGGGTGGTAACTGTACCCTATCGAGGCAACTGAGTCCTAAGAGACAGTAGCAAAGCAGGAACTGTTACACTTTCTCCTTCCTAAAAACAACATTGTGAGTTGCAGATCAACACACCGCAGCATCTCAGGGACTGCACATTCCCAGCACATTTTAATTATCAGTAGTGAAGTTTTTACAATTACATACTATGTTAATTTTCACTTTAATTCTTGCTTGTGTTATGTTTGGCTAGGAAAGGAAAATATGTGTAGGACTGTGCCTTTGAGCTTCTGGCCTGGGCCATCTGGAACAGGTTATTGCATCATTCTGTTATGAGATAGCAATTACAATTCGCACACTGAATGATGCAGACCTCAACTGATAATCTAAGATAGCCTGTCTTTGAAAAATTATAGGGAACCCTCCCCAAACACCAGGAGTTTGCAACTGAGGTTCTTCCCTGGGAGATTAAAGAAGTGAGTCCTTCTCTTTCTCAGGCAGAATTAGGGTTTGAGGCCAAGTTTCCCATAGGCTTGGTGCTATTCATGTGGCGGTAGGGTGAGATGTGTTGATTTCGAACCTCTGCCTGTCATGTGTTATATCAACATGTGATAATATAAGAAGCTTGCTTATTTGGCAGTCTTCAAGATCACTTAGATCAATCTCTCAGTCAGGCAAAAGCCCAACTTGTGAATCTCCTGCATCTTAGATGCTATCAAAATGCAATTGTTCCTGCAAGTACCCAGAAATTGAGTGTTTGGCCATTTTTACTGGTAAAAACATTTGGTTCCATAAGATTTGGTAGGAGCAAAATGAATGTTTTTAGCATCTAAATCTTGGACATGCAGAGTCTTAAAATGTCAGTTATTGCCAAATTCCTTTAATGAATTTAGGTCTGTGTGGCTGGGTAAAAGATGTCTGTGACTTTGGATGATTTGGGGCTCACAGACCTACCACCACACAGATTTGTGGGGTTTGACTCTTCCCATAGTTTGACTCTTCCTATGGTTTGTCAGTGTTCTTGAGAATGTTCAGAGAGGGTGAACTTTGAAAAATGACAAGAACATCCAAGAAGGGTGTTTGATAGGTGTAGTTCTGGAGAAATGTAAGAACAATATCAGAATTTTGAAAGGAGATGAAGTGTTGTAAAAGTTGGAAGGTGATGACTTGTTTTTGTGAAGCAGATTTTCTGTTCAGTAGTGCTGAGTGTAATTAACTCTTTTTAAGTTCCCTTTTGTCTTAGCATTCAGAATCCGTCAGATTATGTTTTCTAGTGCTGAGGGTTCCTGTTCATCTGGTGCTTTGTATTATCTGCAGGAGCATGGCTCAATTCATGCATTCGGTCATCGCATCCAAGGAGGGTACTGTTAAAGCTCTACAACACAGTTTATGTGCCCCTTGTGATTATATATTAAACAATTTTCAAAATTCAAGTCTTAAAAATAATTGGAGATTTAATTTCAGCCCTAAGTATGCACAAAGCAAACTTTTAAGAACTTAGTTATGTAACGGAACCCCATTTTATACTGGGGACAGTTCTACACCTCTTTGTGAAGACAAAGAAAATGTCAAGCTAGTCTAAATAAAGTAATGGATTTTATAACAAGGGATAGTTGAGAACATTAAAGTGAGAGCATCACTACAACTGAAGTTTAGCTACCATCTTAAGCATAAATGGTGAAGTTGTCAGCACATTCAGTTGTCCATTTTTATAGGATGAACAAAAGGAGGTTTATGTGCCCAGATTCTTCCTTTATGCAACTCGAAAGCAAAGGGAGTCAGAAGGCTGTGGCTGCATCTCATTGTTTTGTGTCTGATGGTAGTTACAGAAAGGTACTGCAGAAACTCCACTTAGCCATAACTTCAAGTCCTTTTATTTTGGAAAAAAAACAGTCACCATGCTGTAAACCAGCCCAAGTTGTGGTTTGGTACACTTTTTATACTCTGGTTTTTATCCACTCCAGCTGTCAGATGGAGACAGGAAAAATCAAAACATTTGTACAGTATTTCTTCTTAAGGGAGCCCCTTAGGTGGTCAGATCTGGATTCACCTCCTGTCTCCGGGGCTGGATTACCTCTGCCAGTTGGCTGATGAATCAGAACTCTAAGGCAACGATTTGTGAGCAGACTGGTGCTGCACTCATACAGTGATTCTGGCATGTGTGCAATGATTTTACCATGTGATGGTAGAAAAATTCAGTGGATTAGCAAGTGAAGTATCATGATATAAAGCTTTTCATCCACATGGCTGGATGCTCAGAGCATCTGCTTTGCTGTAAAGCTGTTTTTCATGATTTCATTACATCTCACACAGAGAATAGAATAGTAAGCCCTGCTACTTTCAGATCTCTTAGCTCTCCAGATTACTGAGTGTATTGAGAAACACTGGTCTTGGGGGGCAATGAGAATACTCACTGTCAACATTTTGTCTCAATGACAATTTGCCCTGTCTTCTCTTTCTATCCTCTCTTGCCTGCTTTCTGACCCATGACAAAACTCCTCTCACAATGTGCCCAGCAGCTTCTTGAGAAGTCCCTTGTGTAAGTTTCTGTGAAGCTTTTGGGAAGTTTATTTAAAATAAGTAAATTCATTCTTGTTTATCTGCCAATGCCTTATCACTGAATAATTCTAGGTAAGAGTTTTAATTTTCAATGCAATGCATGTGATGCAAGCAAGTCACTGGGAGAGAAACTGTCAGAAATGGCACCAAGCCTCTGGTGCTGTCATTTTTGAAAGGTAATTTGTACAATTACAGCCATTTAACAAGGTACAGAGTTCTTGGACTTCCCATTGGCTCCAATACAACTTTTGGGAGCTCAGCAACCCTGAAGCAGCTCAGTTTTTATATCACAAGCTGGGTGTCCATGCTTGGAGGCTAGTTTTATTAATATCAACTGTATCAACTATACTTCTCTGTTTCTCACTCTGTTACAGAGAGATGTATGATAATATTTTCAGGTTTTCTCAAATGGCAGAATTTCAGAGTAGTTGTTTCTGTTGAACAGAAATTTCTGTTGAACAGAAATTCAAAGTAGTTGCTTAATGTCCATGTCTGTATTTAATTTCAGTGTTCATCTTTGGATCTAGCATAATCTTTGCAGCATTTGATTGCTTACCTCTCACATCCCATAAATGTTCTGCTTGACCTACTCAAGCTCTGCCTGTGGCGAAGTTGCAAAACACCTGAAAAAGTACTTTATTTCTTTCCTCTTCAATCATAACTGGAGATCTGCAAGTTATGCTTTTCCTGAGAAATATTTCATATCATAAACTGCTCCCTTAAGCATGGGGTGAGTTTCAAAAGGGCCAGTGTTTGCAGACAAGCCGTTTGTTTTCCTTTGAACGTTTAATTTGTTTATTCCTGTTTTCAAATAATCCCCAAGCAATATAGTTCCTGTAGCTGCGATCATCATGAATTCGAGTTATTCACCTCCCAGAGGGTCAGACCTTTCATCAGTATGCCATTGGCACAGAGCAGCAAGTGTTGCATATTCATTGTCCAGGACACCGGCTAGAGGGCCTCCAAAGAGCCTGACTTTTTTTTTGTTCTCAGAGCAAGGAAAACAATCCCTTCCCTTCTCCAGTCCCTTGATAAGGGTTTCTGTCCAATAACGGTGCTCTCTGCTCTGAGGCACATTTAACTGTGAAGTTTGCAGCGGGAGAGGCTTTCCTTCAAGCTGTTAGTGTTTTATCCTGGCAGGCTCCTCGAGGTTGTTGTGAGGAGTCTAGCCAGTTGGTGAGCTTTGTAATCTAAACCAGCTGTCCCAGGCTGAGGCCCCCATTTGCATTGTTTAACATACTTAGAAAATGAAGTGTTCATTTTTAACATTCCTCCTCCAATTGGTTTAATGCTGAATTACAGAAGAGAACTAAGCAAAACCAGGTGCTTTCTCTGTATTCTCTCCAGTGTCTGAGGAGGTACAGACGGCTCCCGATCCTCTCCACTACTTGCCATTTCATTCTTTGGACTATAAATGACAGAGGAACTGAAGTGCTAGCAGAGGGTAATGTTTGGAAAAACTTTCTAGTTATTCATCAGCACAGACTCTGGTTTTTTTCCACCTTTCCCCAACGGTTTTGGACATGCAAGGATTAAGAAGGTAAGTGGTATGCATGAAACTTCTTTACTTACTGACGGGAAACCTACTTGTGGAAAATAGCTGTGGCAGGGATTCGCTATGCCAATCCACTTGCTAAAGCCATTTGCAAGGAGACGGGATCTCAGTGGTCAGAGGTGGGGAAAGATGATCTGCCTGTTAGTAAAGCTGTGCTGTCTCTGATGAGTTCCTTCTTGATCTGTGCTTACACTCTGCGCATCCGCGGGAGCGCTGAACTGCGACAGCAAATGATCCCACTGGCTACTGTGATTGATTGGAGCTAATTAGTTACTATTGCAGAAGTTTAAAATGGTTTAAAATATTTTGCCTGCTGGGCAAGCTACTGTGACCAGCTGCGTATAGTGTTGAGAGGTCGTGCTGCATGTCTGCTAATAATTCTTGAGGGGATTTGAGATCTAAAGTAATAAGCAAACTGAGATGATGGTTGCAGACAGAACAAGAGGCAGTAAGGTCATCCCCCCAGACCAAGAGGAAAGTATGTATCACTGTAATAATGGAAACTAACGACTGTCTAAAAACATTTTAGTTTTGTCTGCCCGGTTTTATAGGGGATTTTGTTAGTTTGCACTGTCCTGCAGCAACGTGCAGCATAGCTCAGTTGCTAGGTGTGTCAGCCTTCAGCTGCAACCTGTGGTACTCCCTCCCAGTGCTGTTCTTGCTATATGCAGTGAGTATGCATTCCTTGTAGCGCTGCACACTTTAAGATCTCTTCAAAGAGATTTGAGGAATCAAGAAATTAAGTGCAAACCTAAATGAATGACATTGTAGCTTGAATGCTTTGCATCGGACTCTAAGGGAAACTCCACAGAATTTGCCTTTCCTTGTCACTCAAAGCTGCCAACAAGCACAATTTGTCTTCACAGCACTATGAAAAACCATTTTAGGGTTTATGTTTACTTTTCAGAGCTTGTCCCTGTCTTCTCATTTAAAACAAATTTGTTGTAATGTGTCAGTCACTGTTTGTGTGTGGTTTTGTCTGATGCGTTTGTAGGTCTTGCTCAACAGCTCAGTTTGCGCTGGAAATCAGAGACAGCTCTAAGAGAGAAAGTTGGCAGCTTGCTTAGGTAGTAGAACTAAAGCCACCTAAAATATCCCCTGCTTCCTGTACTGGTTTTGTGGGAATATATTGTATACAATTGCCATTCAGAACTACAATCCAAGATAAGCAAGGTGTGGGTCTAATATTACTGAGAAGTTTTATATAAGGCGGCAGGAAAACACTGAAATCCATAGTACTTAGAAAAAAATAACTTCTGACTGTCACTTCATGTTTTTCTATCTGTTAATAAATACTTGGAGGTGGAAGGTTACTTGACCAGAATTTTTATGCTCCAGGTAAGGAACTCCAGGTAAGGAGCTCCAAAAATAACTGTAGAACTCTGTTAATGAGGGATCCTCTTTTAGTAGTGGTGGAGAGACCCAGTAGGTCCCACTAGATGTGAAGATGATAAAGCTGGGGAAGGGTCCTTTGAAGAGAACAGCTTCTAGTAGCTGGTGACCTGGCACAGAGTCTACTTCCAGAGCAATGTATTCTCAAGATGGAGTAAAGGGACAGGATCTGGCCCCACAAAAATGGATTAATCTCAGATACAGTCTCCTGGGGACGAAATGCGGTTTAGCAGTTACAGCAGCTGGCTTGGATTCAGGACCTCCTGCACGACATGTTGCAGCCCTGCCAGCGCACCGCGCTGGGAGCTTAGGCAGGGCCTGTGCACTGGTTTACCCATCTGTAAAATGTGCACAATGCACAAGAAAATCTTCCATATTCCCAAAAGAAAGGTGTCAGAGAGGGGCAAAAATGCTTTATTCAATATTGCACACTTCGTTCATTTAACAGCTGCTGCATGGGGTGTCATAAAAATTAGATTAGTCCATAGACATATACAGTCAGATTCCAATCCCAGCTGCATGAAACTATAGTAAAATTAGTTACTCTGAGATCTGAATCTGGCCCACAGTTGTATTTCTCCTTCTCCAGAGGCCAAATTCATGTTAGCAAACTATGGAATACACTGAAGTGTCACTAGAAATGAATTTTTCTCCATGTGTGTTTAATTCTATGTAATAAGCCTGGATATCAGAAGGTTTTCAGCCTATTTTCTATGCACATTACAGGATACTGACTGCTTTCACACTGGCTGTCTGCCTTTCAAGCCCTGGAAAAGCACAGGTGAGAGGTGCACACAGAGATGCATGTACTGTTTTATACTGAAGCACTATATGGCATGAAACTTCACTGGCCAGCAGGTGGATAGGAAGCTCTATGGTCTGGGGTTTACATGAAAAGGAAGTTGTGTGGTCTAAGGGTGTAGAGGGGAGAACTTGGAGCCAGCAGGTTTCTGGAGTTGAATATGGATTGAGCTTATTAACTCACCCTTGCCAGCTCAGCAAAATATCCCTGTGGAAACCTGGACCTCACTGAAAACCTGATTCTGCCTCTAGACTGAATACTCCAGGAAATAAAAAAAGCAATCCCACAAGAGCAGGGACCACTCAGTTCTGTTGTGGGAAACATCCACACTTGGAAAATTCATTCATATAAATAGATATTTTCTGTGTATAGTGGTATCTTATCTTAAGACTGTTTAATTTTAGGCTATGGTCCTGATTGACTGGATCCTAGTTTTTGTTTTCACTTAAGCCTTAAACCATTTCTGTTCAAGAGGCGGGACTTTTGAGGGTGGATGGAAGTAAAGCAGTCCAGTTCTTGAAATAGCAGAAACATTAGTTCTTTGTGGGCTTGGGCTCCGTGTGGACTTTAAATTAGGAAAAACAGTTCCCAAAAGCATGTTAAGTTTGGATTTCTAGTTGATAACCCAGATATACTCAGTGTCCAGAGCTGTGTTTCTAAATACATTTGCCAAAAGTCTCTGAAATGTAGTTGTTTTTGTTCTATTACATTGAAAATTTCCTGCACATGGCATGCTTATTGATATTTTTGTGAACATTGGATCTGTATGGGAAATGCTTTTCATACCCCTGGGAATTTTTGAGATGTCTTTAAGGGTTTGGTTTTGTAATTTAAAAAATATTGTTTCCACTGCAATTTTTATAAAAACATCTCGTAACGTAAATTGATTTTTGAAGTCTAAGCAAAAAGCAACTTGAAACTGAAATCACAGCAATGCGTTCTTTCTGCAGATATTGAAACTGGTAATTTCAACAATATTGGAATCTTTTCTAGAATAAAGTTCTAGAAATTTGTTGAAACCAGTTCTACAGTAGTTTCAGTGCTTCTGAATCATCATTTACTGTCCAAAAGAAAATAATTTTGTTAAAAACTGTCTCAACTTTTCCAGCTAACCTAGGTGTAGTGTACGTGCCACAGCACAAAAAGGAGAACAAAAGGTAGAGTAGGTACATTCTTTAAAACATGTGGGTGATTATACATGCTCCCATCAGAATATCTTGGCTTTCCACAACATGATACCAAAACATCTTGGAATGCCAAAACAAATGGAGGCAGAATTCCTCCCTACTTGTTTGACACTTCTAGCAGTGGCTTTGTGTATTCATAGATGCAAGTGGTGGGTGCAGTCCAAACAGTGCTGTGTGCTTCACTTCATGTCCCATGCCTAGCTCCTGTAATGATCCACTTCCACTGGCTCACGCCTCTAACCCTTTGTCTCCCATCTAGAACTTAACTACTTTTCCATTCACAAGCTGGGTATTTTACTCTTCCAATGATTTCTTCCATAAAGTCCAAAAATAAGTGTCTTTATCATTAAGAAACAAAAGAATCTTGAACACACTCTATCCCTCTGCCCTCTAGTTACTTCAGTTGTTCCTGTTTTTTGGATATCTCTTGCTTACATTCCTTAGTACAACCTATTTACTGGCAATGATCCTGTTCTTGTGTCAATGGCTTGACCTCTTGCTAAATAGCTGGAGGCCCATTCAAGAACTAGGGAAGGGAAGGCAGGGACTAATTTTAATGGGCTTTGAGACAGTCATCACCAGGACTCTCATTGGTTTAGAAATGCTGAGGGTCACAGAGGAGATGCTGAAGACTCAAGGCTGCAGCCCTGATAAAAGACTAGCATCACAGAATAGGAAGGAATAAGGCTTTCACTAACCTTGCATACCTGGAACGTGTGTCGTCTAAAGATTTATCCTCTAAAAATTACAAGGTTTGGTGTAAAGGAAAAGCCTCATTTTTATCCAGCTTGTTATTGTTTTAACTGTGGTTCCAAATCAGTCAATGGCTAATGTGCTGTGCGTTGAATGGGCTGTCTGGGGAGATTTAGAGCCTGTTAGAGAGGTAGCAAGTACCTTTTAGCTGAAACTCCCTGTTCTGCCAGAAAAAAAAGCATCAAAAGCATGCCTTTTATGCTTATCACAGAATATGCTGAGCTGAAAGGGACTAGAAGACTGTAACTTCTGTGTTAACAACTGGTATGGTGCCCATAACACCTTGCACACTGGGGACTCCTGGGAAGAGGAACAGCCTGACACTGTCACCACCTGAGGGAACCCCCTCCTGAGCTAAGGGGCTGGCACACGTGCTGAGGCCTCAGGTTCATGCCTTGCTGACTGTTCTTTGGAGAAGAGACCTTTGATGTACTTTATAGTGCTGAACAATTGTACTAATCATAGTAATCCAGATGAGCATTTGACTCTGCAACCCTCTCATTTCACAGTCACTGAGTGTCCTTTTTTCTCTCATTTTAGCAACAATGCACTAATGGATTTGACCTGGACCGTGCCTCTGGGCAATGCATAGGTAGGAATTTAATTAAATCAATACATTTAAATTTGGGTTCAGAAGTCCTGAATTTATTGAGTTAAAATTGTGGTGCTCTTAGTATGTTTTGTTAAAAAGTTCTCGCTCTGTGTGTTTGTATATATGTATACATAAAAAATATGTGTATATATAAATATGTATGTCTTTACATAGCACAAGTATATACTGATCTTTGACTTTGTTGAGATACTAATAGGCTGTCAGTGCTACTCAAATAGCAATGATGCTATTTTGATAAGAGCTCAGTCTAGCTGCCAAAGGATAAGGATTGTTCACCCTCCTTCTCTTTCTCTTTCAAACTCAGGACTTACTGTCTTTGCTGGCAGTTTCCACGTGCAGGCTTGGATAAAGTTTTCCACTGCTCAGCATTGAAACTCCAAGTAAATTGAGTTGGGACAGAATAGGGAAACCAAACCCGCACATTGTCTAATAGCCTCTTTTTATCAATGGCATTCAGTCTCCAGGGCAGCTTCTTCTACATGCACTAAAGTCACTCAAACACAAAGGGAAAATCCTCCAGCAGACTGCTTGCCCTGTCATAACCTATTGCTTCAGTTCCCAGAGAACCAGGTTGGGCTAAACCAGTTGTATCTTTCTAAATTTATTCAGCAACAATCTCAATCAAAGCAAAAAAGGCCTGAACTGCATCCCCAGATCTGAACATCCCTAACTTCTTCTGTGGGAAAGAGCTTTATAGTTCCAAATCAGGATCCAAGTTTCACAGCTGGGCAAACCAAACCACCAGTGTTTGAAATCCTGATCTGCATGTTGTGGTTTGGACAGACCCTCTAGCAGGAACAGGCAGTAGCATGCTGCAGCCATGTGTAGATCAGCATTTAAACCAAACTTCTATGGAATAGCAAAGCAGGCTTTCTCCTCTCCCTCTATCCTCTAATAGTGAAGTAAAACAGGTAGATCACAGGATATATTGAATATATGGGATGTTTCCTATTTTAGTACAATGTAACTTCAAAGTGAGACTCCACAAGGAAAGATTAGCTTTTTTTTGATAGAGAATATAAATATTTTTTCACAAGGTTTTGAGAAAAATATGTTAACTTTTTTTTTTATAGCTTCCATTAAAAAGCAATCACTCTTTTTAACTTTTGCAATTTACTTCCAGATATTGATGAATGTCGGACTATTCCTGAGGCCTGCAGAGGAGATATGGTGTGTGTCAACCAGAACGGTGGCTATTTATGCGTACCCCGAACAAACCCAGTGTATCGATCACCATATCTGAATCCTTATTCAAATATTTATCCACCGCCCCCAGCACCAGGCCCTGTTCCCAACTACCCTACTGTTACGAGACCTCTGATTTGTCGATTTGGTTTCCAGTTGGATGAAAACAATCAGTGTGCTGGTAAGTAGTAGAAGTCTTTATTCTATATTTTTTTATATATTACAGCTTGTCCGATATTGCAAAAGCAATTGTCCTGCAGTTATCCTTTAGTTATTGCAGCAGTCAAGCCCAGTATTTTGAAGTACAGCTAAATTTTTTTAAAGCATTTGACCTATATGATTCATATGGTCATCATTCAATGTAAGCTAAAATATTATTTAGTCCAATTATTTAATCAGGAAAGACACTTTCATGGAAGAAGTAATGTTTTTGTGAGATAAACAACCATCCAATGGCAGGTGATTTGTCAGTGCATCAAAAGCATGCCTTTTATGCTTATCGCAGAATATGCTGAGTTGAAAGAGACCCACAAGGATCATTAAATCCAACTCTTAGCTCTGCACAGGACCATCCCCAAAGGCCACACCATGTTCCCAAGAGTATCATCCAAACGCTTCTTGAACTCTGCCAGGCTTGGTGCTGTGACCACTTTCCTGGGTAGCCTGTTCCAGTGCCCAACCACCCTCTGGGTGAAGAACCTCTTTTTAATATCCGACATAAATCTCCCCTGACACAACTTTAGGCCATTCCCTCAGCCCTGTCACAGGTCACTACAGAGAAGAGATCAGTGCCTGCCCCTTCTCTTCCCCTCAAAAGGAAGTTGTAACTGCAGTGAGATCTCCCCTCAGTCTCCTTTTCTCCAGGCTGAACAGACCAAGTGTTCTCAGTCACTCCTCACACGGCTTCCCCTCAAGGCCCTTCACCATCTTCATTGCCCTCCTTTGGACACTCTCCAATAGCTGAATAACTTTCTTACATTGTGGTGCCCAAAACTGCCACAATATTCAAGGTGAGGCCACACCAGTGCAGAGCAGAGCAGGACAGTCCCCTCCCTTGATCAGCTGGTGATGCTTTGCCTGATGCCTCCCAGTTGGCCCTCCTGGCTGCCAGGGCACTGCTGACTCACATTCAACTTGCCATCAACCAGGACCCCCAGGTCCCTTTCCATAGCACTGCTTTCCAGCATCTCATTCCCCTGTCTCTATGAACATCCAGGGTTGCCCCATCCCAGGTGCAGAATCCGGCAGTTCCCCTTGTTGAACATCAAATGTGGTGACTCAGCAAATACCTCCCAGAATAATCTTCTCCATAACTTTACCAGGCACTGAAGTGAGACTGACAGGCCTGTTTCCTGGGTCCAACCTTCTTGCCCTTCTTGAAAATCGGGACATTTGCCAGCTTCCAGTCAGCTGTGGCCTCTCTGAATTCCCAAGACCACCCAAAAATCGAGAGAGGGTTTGTGATGACATCAGCCACCTCTTTAAGGATTCTGGCATGAATCCCATCAGGCTCCATAGATTTGTAGGGATTCAGCTTGAGCAGCAGGTCCTGCACAATTTCAGGGTCAACTGGAAGTTGATCATTCTCGCAGTCTGTCGGTGAGAGAGAAGATGGCTTTCCATTTGAAGTGTCAGGTGGGGCCTGAGGAAACCAAACCTTGGTTCAGCTCTTGATGTGAGCTGGTCTTTGACAATAAAAAAGGCCCAAACTACAGAAGCTGTGAACTTTCAATAAAGGATATTTCCTGTCTTTAGACTAAGGAACTGCATTTAATTCAGAACTGCTGCAGAAGAACACAAGAGCTAAAACTGACTTGTCTTTTGGGCTTATTCTGTCCTATTGTCTGAATTTTCTGGCAGGACTTGGTTGCAGATTATATACTTTCTTTGTTTCTCTAATGAGGAGGCCACAAGAGCTTCACAGAAGCTTTGAGAACCTACATGTAAATTCAGCTGCTTTGGGACACATTTTTCTGTATTTGAATTACTGTCCTCATTATGTTCCAAGGTGGGAAAACCATATTTTCTAACCAGCACTCATGGTAATACTAGCTGAAAAATTAAAAAATAAAAACCAAAACAAAAACAAACAACAAAAAACAAACCCTGTTTTTTTAATGAGGAATTTTTAAATCCAGGGATAACTGAGGAGTTTGCTGTAAAAATAAGCATTTTTACTATCTGGTCCTTTGAAAATTGCCTCTAGTCCTTTTCATCTTAGCAAACTGATCAACCTCACTTATTTTATCTCCTGATTTGTAGATTTCCAGGAGTGTTTTCAAAGTGTTTTGCTCATTTTGCTGTAGATGAATCAGAAAATGGGGCTGCTAGTGGAAAAGAAATGAAAGTGGAAATAAAACCTCTGAATTATACTGTCTGACCTGCTCCATGCAAACCATACTAATCAAGACAGGTGGATTTAGGAAATTTTTCAGTGAACATCCCAGCCTGAAAAGGGCACATATGTTCCTATCTGTGCTGGCAGAAATGGGAGAACTAATACATTCTTCAGTCAGGGCTGTTCACTTCTATCTCTTTAATTTTCAGATATTTGGAATTTAATTGTAAGAAATGTTGAGAAACATTAATGAGAATGGATGGGAAAGGACAGGATGCCACAGCAAGCTGGGAGAAGTGTTTGAAAGTCTACCTCAGTTTTGAATTTTGGCAGATGAAGTATCATGTTTGTGTTAAAGGAAGGAAAACAAAACTTAAAGAAAACAAAACCTGTCAAGGGTCTCTTCTGTGGTTAGATTTCATTTTTCATTTTGTGAAATTCTCTGGAGACATTCACTGTCTTGATGCAGTATTTATTTTTGTATCTGTGTGCCTTTTGTATCTGCGTGCCCTGGGATGGAAAGTGTGGTCACCAAGGGAAGTGATTCAAGTCCATGTCTCACTGTGGTGCTGTAGAAAGGCCTTATCCCCTGTTTCTGGGACTCCTGGTGCAGTTAACAGGGTCATGTGCATTTTCATGCTTGAAGGCCTTGGAGACAAGACACCAGGGAACCTTGACAGGGTCCTCAGGAGCAACCAGAATTTTACCCAGGTCATTAAAGAAAGTCTGAATCAGGGGAATCATGGCTCCATTCTATTATAAGCTCCTTCTTTCCAAAGAAAATTAGTCGTAGGTATTTCCATTAGAGATTATAAGACTTTCTGCTGTTGACTGCAGGGGAACCAGAGTTATTCTCATGCCAGTGTTTCTGAGCAATCTCCAGTTTTCAACAGAGTACACATTTCTGTCTGGTTAGGTATGGGGTTACAGGTCTGGGCCACACTTTCTATTGCTAGGCCAACAGAAATCTTTACTTTCTCTTTAAATTTCAGTCAAAACAGCTTACTAAACACAGGATCCTTCTCTAGGAGATGGGGAGATTTGCAGTCTCAGCTTTGAAGCACTAAGCTTGTTCAAGAGACTTCCAAAGTGAAACAGGACAAAAATTTGATCTGAAAGCTGTGTGAGATTTAACAAGCTCTTTTTTTTTTTTTTCCTACCTCCTCACAAAATGTAGGGAAACTGTGACAGGGTCGCTTTGTCCCAGTCTGGCACCTGGCCTGCCTGCCAAGGCTTCACATTCCATGGCTCTCAGGGGAATGTACGCTCCTGGTTGTTCACATAACATTCTCCTCGTGGGGCTGATATGTTTCAACTCAACAAAAAAAGAAATATAATCTATTATTCTCCCTTTCAAGCTTTTTTGGCCTCATCCTTTCTGGCTGGATGGTCATAGGCAGGGGTTAGATCTCCACGGTCCTTCCCTATCCTGATCACCACTCAGGTTTACCAAGACTCTTTCATCTCCAGATCTCATCCTTTGTGGCTTTTCCTGCCCCAGGTACCTCTCAAAGACCCTGTCAGTGACAACTTTGCCCACTGCAGAGTTCTCTGTGTCCTGCAGAAGTAGCTGTAGCCATTTGTGGCAGCAGACAGAGGAATGTTTTAGTGATATTTACTACTTGAATCTTCTGTGGTTTGATTCCTGATACATGGTATTTTTACCCCTGGAGTTACTGAGTGCTTTATATTTTGTATGTATAAGTGTTCTGTGTTTTCAACAGCATGAAGTCTGTGTAAACTCATTCCAAAGCAGGTTGGGAATGATTTATAATCACAATTAATGCTGGAATAAAAGACCACATGCAGGAAAAAGCAAAGAACATCGAGTGCAAGAGTGCTGCTTGAACTGTTTGTATTCTAACACTACTTCTCTATAAATACAGAATGGTTTAGTCATAATAATGACTTTTTGCTCAAGGAACTTGGTCTAGTAACTGTTGGCTCCAGTTTACTGGAGCGAGGGCCCATGTTCTTGCATTATACATTTGTAAGCTGAGAGCTCTTTCCAGTTTCCCTTCACTCCACCTTACTGTTTCCTGATTTACAATGATCTTCACAACATGCCTCAGACACAGATCCTTCTGGGCATTGTGGAAAGAACTGTAGTGGGTGGGCTCTTATTTTTGCTTTCTCTCTGATTACTGCAAACTCACAATGTGAGGAGATGATGGGGGTGGAGAGGCATCTAAAGAGGGTTAAACAGAAGGAGCACAGAAAGCAGACTGCAAAGACAGAGGAGTAGATGTTAGAAAAAGTATAAGCATAAGGCAAGATAAGTATGACCTAGAGACAGAGAGAAGGGAGGAGGGCAGAGAAGGTAATAAAAAATAAAAAATAAATTAAAAAAAAAGCCTAACTGTTTTTAAAACAAAAGCTAAAAGGAAGAAGGGGATAGAAAAATGTAAAGATGCTGTCTCCAAGCATAAGAGAGAAGTGTTCTTCATGCCCACCTGTACAGTATTCCTTGCTTCAGCTTTCCTCATTTCTCAAACCCACCTATGGGTCCCCAGTCCTACACTCGTGGACTGAAACTCCTTCATTCAAAATATTACTTTTGCACAGATGGGTTTTAGATCATTATCGTTTCTATTACAAGCATACCTAAAACCCACATCCAAGCCTGCAGTTGAACCGCCCTGCCTTGTGCGCAGCCTCGTTAGGAACAGCCTCTGCCTAGATGAGTTTCCAAGCAAAATGAAGGAACCAGATGTGTGTGTGTGGGGGAGAGGGGAGGGAAATGAAGAGACAGAAAACTGAGAGGAGGTGCCCAGGTCTTGCAGCAGGCTCATGGCTGTGCTGGGGATGGAGCCCAGAGTTCCTCATCCAGTGGCTTAGCCACC